AGTTCTACTCTGCTGAGAGATTTAAATAAAACTGCGTCTCATAACTTGACTCCCTAAATGTCCCAGCAGCAATCAAAGATCTCTCATTAAGAACCAGAACAATCTCAACTTAAAGAAATGACAATCTATGGACACAAACCCCAAGATGACAAAGCTGTTAGAATCATCTAGCAAATATTCTAAATGAGCTACCATCAAAGTGCTTCCATGAACAACTATATACATGATTGAAACAAAGGGAAAACAGTCTCAGCAAAGAGAAAATATAAGGAAGAAAACAAATTCACAAAAAAATGGAATAATGGATGGGTTAAACAGCAAAATAGAGAGGACAGAAGGTAACTGGTGAACTGGCAAAAGAAATTACCTAATCTGAAGATCAGTGAAAAGAGACTGAAAAAATATGAACAAGGCCTCAGAAAACATAGGACTATAACAAATATCTAATATTTGTATCATCAGAGTCCCAAAGAGAAGCTGAAAAAAAAAATAATGGCTGGAATTTCCCTAAATTTGGCAAAAGGAATAAATTTAAGACATTCAAGAAACAGACTCCCCAAAGAAACATACATAACCAAACTTGAAAACTCAAAGAAAAACTTTGTGAGAATTAAGAAAAAGAATGCATTATATACCAGAAAATTAAAAATTAAAATTAACTTTGAATGACTACAATTCTCATCAGAAACTATGGAAGTCAAGAGGAATTGAAACAGTATTTTTTTTTCCTTTTCCTTTCCTTTTTTTTTGGGGGGGGGGGTACTAGGGATTGAATCCAGAGGTACTTTACTACTGAGCCACATCCCCAGCCCTTTTTATTTTTTATTTTGAGACAGAGTCTTGCTAAATTGCTTAAGTTAGCCTTAACTTGTGATCCTCCTATCTCAGCCCCCAAGTCATAGGATTACAGGCAAGCACCACCACCTTCAGCTTGACACAGTATTTTTCAAGTGCCAAAGGAAAAGAACAGTCAATCTGAAATCATTTACCCATCAAAATATCCTTCAGCAATGAAAAAGGAATCAAGACATTCTGGGGAGGGGAGGGGGGATAGTAGAGGATAGGAAAGGTAGCAGAATACAACAGTTACTAATAGGGCATTATATAAAAATGTGGATGTGTAACCGATGTGATTCTGCAATCTGTATATGGGGTAAAAATGGGAGTTCATAACCCACTTGAATCTAATGTATGAAATATGGTATTGTCAAGAGCTTTGAAAGGTTTTGAACAACCAATAAAAAAAAAAAATGGTGGAATGAGATGGGCATCATTACCTTAATTACATGTATAGAAGACACAAATGGTACAACTCTATTTTGTGTACAGTGATATAAGTATGCTCTATATGTATAATATGAATTGTAATGCATTCTGCTATCATATGTAACAAATTAGAATAAAAAATTTAAATCAAAAAAAAGAGAATTAAAATAATAAATTGTATATTATGGACAGCAAAAAAAAAAAAGATATTCTTAGATGAAGAAAAACTAAGGATTTGTCATCAACAGACTTACTCTAAATGAATGGATAAAATAAGCTCTCTGAACAGAAAGGAACTGATGAAAGAATCTTCAGCCTTGGCAAACTTGAAATAAACAAACAAATAAGTAAAATGGGCTGGTGATAGGGGATATAGCTCGGTAAAGCACCTGGGGTTCAATTTCTAGTACCACACACAAACACATATACACACACTGAAAAGAACAACCTTGAAACATTGACGAAGGGAGAAAGAACAATGAAAAGAACAAATACATGGATAAATACAATATCCTTGAGTTTCCTAAACTATGTTTGACAGTTGAAGCAAAAATTATGTCACCAGGTACAGTGGCACACATTTGACCTCAGGAACCCAGGAGGCAAAGTTCAAAGCTAGCCTGGACAACTTAGCAAGACCCTGTTCTCCCCAAAATTTAATAAGGTTCAGTGGTAGGTCACTTCCACCCCAGGATTCAATCCCCAGCATCAACAAAACAAAAATAAAGATAATATAAATATCATTTTAATATAATTTTAAAAATCAGAAAAAAAATCCAATTACAAAATGGGCAAAAGATAAAGACAGGCATTTTAAACAAAAGTATATATAGATGGACAAGTAAACACCTGAAAAGATGTTCAATATCATTTACCATCAGGGAAATGCAAATTAAAACAAAAATGAGACATTACTACATATATATTAGGATGGCTAAAATAAAAAATAGTAACATCACCAAATGCTGGCAAGGCTGTGAAGAAAATGAATTGGATTATACATACATTGCTGGCAGAAATATAAAATGATGGCAGAGTGGCACACACTTATAATCCCAAGTACTTCAGAGCCAAGGCTGAGGGATTGCAAGTCTACGTCAGACTCAAGAATTTAGGGAGAACTTCATCTCAAAATAAAAAATAAAAAGGGCTGGTGATATAGCTCAATAGTTGAGCACCCCTGAGTTAAATTCCCAGAAAGAATGAAAGAAAGACAGGAGGAAGGAAGATAGTACAACCATTCTGAAAAAGTTTAACCATTTCTTTGGAAACTAAGCAGGCACTAAAGATCCGGTGATTGCACACACACTTGGGCGTTTTCTCAGAAAATGTCAACTTATATTTACATAAATACCTGTATATGAATGTTTATAGCAGACTTATTTGTACTAGCTAAGGAATGGAAACAGCCCACATGTCCTTCAATGGATGAATAGTTAAACCAACTGTGGTATATCTACAGCTTGAATGCCAGAAAAAGGAACAGTTACCAATAACACACAATCGTGTGGATGAAACTCCAGGGAACTACGCCCAGTGAAAAAAAAAAGACCATCTCAAAAGGCTGTATTAGTGCCTTTATTTGGCATTCTTGACACACCAAAATTATAGAAACAGTGAACTAGTTACCAGGAGCTGAGGGCAGCAGAAAAGTGGATATGGCTATAAAAAGGCAAGAGGGGGAATCCTTGTTACTTCTGTATCTTGAATTTTATTAATGTCAACATCAGCTTAAACTATTTACTGTAGTTCTGCAAAATGTTACCAATGGAGAAAAGTGGGAAAAACAATAGTGTAGGATCTATGCACTATTTGTTATGACTATGTACAATAGATTTGAATGTATAATTTCTCAAAATTTCATATTACTCAAATTTTTCAATAATTGGTACACTCATCTCAAAAACTAAGAATGGTACTGTAAAACAGCACTCAAAGGAGTCACTTTTCATTGATCTCACTCCTCATGCCCTAGTAGGGGCACATACTAGACATATAAACACGGTAAATATTTGGCACTTAATAAATTATGCTTTCAAATTTAAAACCAACAAAAATTCATATGAGTATGAATTTCTGAGACTCAAGTCAGTCTTTAAAACTAACTGAAGGTCAGGAGTGGTGGCACATGCCTGTAACCCCAGCAACTCAAGAGGCTAAGGCAGGAGGATTTAAGTTCAAGGCCAGCCTCAGGAACTCTAATGAGACCCTGTGTCAATTTAAAAAAAAAAAAAGAACGTTAAAAATAACTGAATTGGGGCAGTGCTTGCATAATTGTGAATTTACTACAAACTACTGAACTGTGTGCTTTAAATGGGTAAAATGTAGTAAATGTAAATTATATCAAGTGAATCTATACCTCAATAAAGCTGTTATTTAAGGCGGGGAGTGAAATATTAAAAGTACTCTCAAAAAAAAAAAATAATGAGGATACTCTGATTTGTTCCAACTTTCCAAGATCCAGTCTTGAACTATTTTACAAAGCTACTATAGTGTTAAATATTTCCCTATTTTTGACTATTGCACCTAGTATCACTCAACCTAATGAAGGCTCCTGTATGCAACGTAACTGAATAGACTCCAAGTGCAGGACTATAAGACCAGGCACAAGGAAATCCCTATACTGTATGTTCCCTCTGACTAGTATCAAGGCATAGGGGCCCACAGACAGAGGTGGGACATGCCAAGGTCATGAAACCAAGGAAAAACTTGAAAAAAACCATTTACTTCACTTGCTTTTACTTAATGCTTTTATCACCAACTTCAAAGGTCATGCAGCTGAAGCAATACTCTCCTATCAACTTACATAACATCTGACATATGCGTCACGAAGCCTACAATGTTTTCAGGAATTTTTGTGTATCTGAAACTGGCTAAAAGCATCGACCCTATACTTAAGCCTGCACAGGTGTCCGATAAGTGACCTTTTGACGTCAGAGTGAAGAAATCTCCACCCTTAGATGAGGCTAACGCCGCCATTTTCTGAATGTGCGTCCAATTTAGAGCCAGAAGTTTGATCACGCCCGCGCGAAACCACTGATTACCGCATTTCCCTCATCTCTAATCAGCTGCCCCATGGCCAAACCAACTTGCTTCTTTATTCCATAAGCATCCTAACCTCTATTCCCAAGGCACAGATTTGACGCCAGATCTCCTGTCATCAGAGCTTAGCCTCCACATTAAGAGACTCTTGGAAAACGTATCACTTCAGTGATGGCAGACTACCAGGTGGGCAAGAGGGGCCTGGCGCTACAGCAATCAGGGTGAGGGCACCGCGGCAGAAGTCCCCTTAACTCTCCGCAGGCAACTCTCCAAGTTCACGTCGCACACCCTTCCCGAGGGAAGGGAGCGCGAACAGTTTCTATAGAACCGAACTTCGGCCAAATCTACACAGCACCTGGCAGCCAGTGGGCCTGGCAAAGAGAACCGTGAGTGCCGCGAAGTGAAGCCGATAGGCCAGCGCCCCTGGTCAAAGGACAGCACACTGGAGGCCGCGGCTAACACGGACCGTCACGCGACGGCAACGCGACCTTGGGGTCACCCGGGACACCGCCCGCTGCCAATGGCGCGCGGCACTGCGCCCCGCGCGACCCCGGCGCCAGCCGGGCCCGCCAATCTCCGCCCGCCGGGCGCCCCCGCCACGTCATTGGCTGCCAAGCCCGTCCGTCAGGCCCCGTCCCCTCCCACTACCGCTGCCCTCAATCAGCCTTCTCCGTCCGCTCAGCTCCGGGGACCTCCGCTCCCGCAGCTCCAAGGACGCGGCGACCTCGCTCTCGGCCGCGACCCGCGGTTGGCAGGCGCTTGGTCCCCGGCGCGGGTATGGGCCCAGCGGTAGAGCACAGTTACCTCTCTCCGGCTCAGCTCCACCCGAATGAGACACCTACACCCCGCTCCGGGGTACCAAACTCTCGGCCCCGCCCCAGCGTATGGCGTCAGCACGCAACTTGGCCTGGGGAGGCCCGCCCCTCGTTGTGGGCGTGGTCGTGACGCTACAAAGCCTACTGGCGTCACGGCGCCGACGGCGCTATTGCAGAAGCTGCAGCGTAGGATCCTACCTTGTACGCACCTAGAGAATTCCAGCTCTTCCCTGGTGATGACAGTTAAATAAAAGTAAGATGTTTTCAATATCTGTTAGGAGCCTACTAAATGATAGTGAGGTTGATGTAAAATTTATCACTAAACAAAAATAAATAATTTGAATATCAAAATCTACGTCGACCTCTCATTTTGTGTGAAGCTTTGTGACGAGCGCTTAACCTGCGCTATTGTGTAACAGCCGCAGTCTGCACGTGACAAAAGGTAGTGCCGGGACCCAGCTCGGTTTGTCCTGGTACCATACCCAACTACCGAGAGAGGGAAAACGCCACTAATCTATCCGCAACCTGAACCCTATTGATCGTAAGACGCTCCCTATTTAAAAGTTGAAATTTGGAAAAAGTTGTTTCAGAGTTAATGTGATTCAGTAAATTATGTTGAATTACGTACGGAAACGTGTCCTTTGCAGTTCGTCTTCACCACAAGCCTGGAAAAGCTTCATTTCATGCCTATGTCTTTAACTTCAAGCTTCTTTCCTTTTTGACAGATCAGACGTTAGGTTCAGAGATTTTAGAGGACAATAATATAAAGCTGTGCCTTAAAGTGCTTTGTTTTTTATTTTATTTATTTATTTATTGTACCGGGAATTGAACCCAGGTCTACATCCCCAGCCCTGTTTTGTATTTTATTTAGAGCCAAGATCTCTCTGAGTTGCTAAGTGCCTAAGTTGGTGGTGGTGACCTTGAAATTGTGATCCTCCTGTTTTAGCCTCCAGAGCCGCAGGGATTACAGGCGGCTGTCTTGATTTTTGACAGTTTGTCTTATATGTGGCAATGATACTGGTATTCCCATTAATTATAAAGTTTTCTTTTGTTATAAATGGTTCTATTTAAAGAATATATTAACTAGGGCTGGGGATGTAGCTCAGTTGTTGAGCACTTGCTTCACGGGCATGAGACACTGGGTTCGACCCTCAGCACTACATAAAATAAATATATATATATATATTATATATTCCATCTACAATTTAAAAAATTTTTTAAATGAATATATTAACTAGATGTTAGTATGGAAAGGTCACACCCAAATGACAAACAGGGAAACAATGTTCCAGGCTATATTGAATATTCTCTTAGGTATACTTTCCCCACAAAATAATGAACTACTTTAAGGACTGTGTCCTGTAGTACAGTAGTAGATATTGGGGTCACAAAGGGCATGACTATAACTAGCAGGATAGTTCTATGGAGGACACAAATATCTGATTCTGAGCCAGTATTACAACCACTTATTAATGTTATAGACTTAGAACAATTTCTAAAAGGAAAAGAAAATTCATTTTTTGTTTGTGTTTAAATGGGGAGTATAAGTGCTTGTGAGAACAAAGTAGAGCAGATGTATGGGACAAAGATCTAGAGAGTAGGATAAGGTGAAAGGACCAAAAAACAAACACCAATATGCAGTTTTCCCAATTTTTGTAAGAGATCATGGTATATATTAAAATTGGCATTTTAGCCAGGCACAGTGACACACACCTGTAATGCCAGCAACTTGGGGAGCCAAGGAAGGAGAACTGGAGATTCCAGGCCAGCCTAGGCATCTTAGTGAAAGCCTGTCACAAACGAAAAAATAAAAATAAAAAGGGCTGGGGATATACTTCACTGGTAGAGTACCCCTGGGTTCAATCCTTAGTACTGGGGAAATATTGGCACTTTAACTAATTTAAGTATTCAACTCAGTGACATTAATTGCACTCTGTAACCACAGAGTAATAATTTTCCATTTACCTCCTTCTTTCCCTCCCTTATCAGCTCTTTAAACTTTTTATAAATTTGAATATTTTAGTTATATCATGTAAGTGGAATCATGAAGTATTTGACCTTTTTGTGTGACTTAGAGCACTCAACATAATGTTAGCATTCATCCATGTTGTAGCATGGATCAAAACTTATTTTCTTTTTATGGCTGAAAACATTCCTTTATATGGGTATACCAACTTTTTTATCCATTCTCTATTGATGAATACTTGGGTCATTTTTACCTTTTGGATATTGAGAATAATACTGCAATGAACACAGGTGTGTACATATCTGAGTACCAATTAAAATGCTTTTGTATATGTATATCTAGGAGTGAAATTTCAGATCATAATGGAATTCTGTCTAGCTTTTGAGGAAGTGATAAATGTTCACAGAGCAACTACACTATTTTACATTCCCATCAGCAAAGAATAAAGTTTCAGTTTCTGTACAATCTCACCAACACTTGTTTTCTTTTTAAATAAATAAATATATTTGTATATGTGTGTGTGTGTATATATATATATATATATATATATATATATATATATATATATTAAGTAGTATCTGGACACAATGCCTTTATTTTTACGTGATGCTGAGGATCAAACCCAATGACTCACACATGTCAGTCAAGCACTCTACCACTGAGCTACAACTTCAGCCCCCACTTGTTTTCTTTTTAAACTTTTATTATAGCTATCTGGCTGACGTGGTTGAGTATGTACCTAGGATGTGAGAGGCCCTGGATTCAATCCCAGGACTGCAAGAAAAAAAAAAGAATATTATAATAATATTTTATTATAGCTACCCCAGTGGGTATGAGCAGGTATCTCATTTTTTTTTCTGTTATTGATGGACCTTTTTTTTTTAATTTGTTTATATGCGGTGCTGAGAATCAAGCCTAGTGCCTCACCCATGGTAGGCAAGCATTCTACCTCTGAGCTATAACCCCAGGCCCTCATTTTGGTTTTGATTTGCATCTCCCTAATGACTAAAATATGGAGTATCTTTTCGTGTGCTTCTTAACCATTTGCATATTTTCTGTGAACTATTTAAGTCATTTGCCTATATTTAAATTGGGTTGTTTGTCACTTTGTTATTGAATTGTAGAAGTTCTTTATATGTTATGGATATCAAACCCTATCAGATATATGATTTACAAATATTTTCTCACATTTTGTATGTTTTCTTTTCTTTTTTTTTTTTTTTTTTTTTTGGTGGTGGTAGTGGTGAACCCAGGCTTGAAGCATGCTAAGCAAGTCCTCTATATTGAGCGAGATCCCCAGCCCTTATATATATATTTTTTTACCTTCTTGCTAATGTTCTTTGATGAACAAAATCATTTTTTGTTTTGTTTGATGTGGGGGTCTCACTTTGTTGCCTAAGCTATGCTCAAACTCCCGAGTAGCTAGATCTTCAGGCGTGTACCACCATACCCAGCTAGTTTTTAATTTGCTGCTCTTGTTCCTGAGAAGTGTATTTGGACAGCCTAGGACCTACAAGAAACTGATGGGTCTCTTGGTAGTGAAGTATGACTTTGATGACATCACAGGACCAGGGGGTCAATAAGAACATAATGGTAGAGTGGTAGAACTGTTTAACCATGACCAGTGGTGATCTCCTCTTTTTATGATCTAAATGGACTGAATGAGGTTCCTGTCATTGAGCAAGGTTGTATATGCTGCTTCAAGAGAGCACAGCCAGACTGGGGATATAGCTCAGTTGACAGAGTGCTTGCCTTGCATGCACAAAGCCCTGGGTTCAATACCCAGCACCACAAAAAAGTAAATAAATAAATAAAAGACAGAGTGAGCAAGCGAGAGAGAGCACATGCATAGCCGCCATATACCCAAGTTCTTACCACAGGAGGCTCTTCAGCACCTGCTCACTAGAGACAATATTCTGGGAAGACTTATTCATATGCCGTTGAGATGTAAAGACTAGAGTTGCAAAGATTCACAATAGAGTATTGGTATGTGGCTTTTGGAGGTGGACAGAAAGCATTCCTTCTACTCACTCTAAGGCTTTTTGTGGCCTCTCTGCACTTGATCTCACCCACAAAAGGCCAAAAATTTATAATCTTGATGTTGCTCATGTCATTTCTGAGAATCCATTGCCAAATCCAAAGTCATGAAAATCTAACCCTGCATATAGGAGTTTTATGGTTTTACCCCATATTTACTTTATTTATTTATTTGAAATGAGGTTTTGCAGTTGCTCAGGCAGACTTTGAACTCCTAACCTCAAGTTATCCTTTTGCCTCACCCTCTTAAGTAGCTGGGACTATAGATACATGGCACCACAACTGGATTATTTCCATTTCAAGTTAATTTTTTTGTATATGATGTGCAGTAAGAATCCAACTTCATTCTTTTGTATTTGGACTTTAGCTATCTCAGTGACATGTATTGAAAACTATTACTTTCTCCCATTGAATGGACTTGGTACCCTTTTTGAAAATAAACTGGCCATAGACATTGAGCTTATTTCTGGACTCTTAATTCTATTCTATTGGTCTGTATGTCCTTTTGCCATTAGCATTGCTCTGATTACTGTAGCTTTATGGAAATTTTAGAAATTAGGATGTATGAGTTCTCCAATTTTATTCTTTTTCAAGATTGTTTTGGCTATTCTGGACCTATTGAAATTCCTTGTGAATTTGATGATTGGCTTTTCCATTTTTGCAAAATGTTAGAATTTTGACAGGAGTTGGGAATAATGATATACTGCTATAATTCCAGTGACTCTGGAGTCCAAGGCAGAGGATGACAAATTCAAGGTCAGTCTGGGAAGCCTGGTGAAACCCTGTCTCAGAAAAAAAAAAAAAAAAAAAAAGCTAGAGAAGTAAAAAAAGGAGATATAGCTCAGTAGTAGAGCACTTCTGGGTTCAATCCCCAATACTACCAAAAACAAAAAAAGTTTTTTGACAGGGATTCTATATAGCAATATTAGGTCTTCTAGTCCATGAATATGTCTTTCCACTTTCATTTATTTAGGTCCTCAATTTTTTTCAGCAATGTTTTATAGTTTTCAATTCACACATCT